CAATAGGTTTTTATATATATATATTTTTTGCTTTACATAACAGCATACATTACTTCTGTGATGTATACAAGACAACATATTTACTACCTCATTAACTTGAAAAGAAACAAAAAAAAAAAAGAGATTCTAAAAAATAAACGAGGCATTTTTAACAAAACTGATTATCTGTAATCGTAAGTGTGTCAAAGAACTCTGGAGATGAACTCAGGACACCGTAATGATGATATGTTGTCACCACATCGTTCTGATTTTCAACACTATCCGTCTGGAACGGTGAAGTAGTTTTCCTGGAGAGGATAACACTACATGATAGGAGGTTATACAGCCAGTCATTTAAAACCTAATAAGTAACTGTTAATACCAACTAAATTTTCTCTATCATATAAATATTTGCTAAATAAACGAAAATTTTTATTAATTTATATAATTCTTTCTTAATATACAAATAAGAAAGTTCTAAAACTTTTTAGATAAATTTCTTTCTTATTTATTACTTCGTACAACTCTGCACAACATCATCTGATTCTGAACATTTCAAGACTTTTGAAGTTTTAGCAATTGGTGTTGCACTTAATTTTCAATAATGCTATTCAAAATTGATTAAAAAAAATAAGACTGAGTAACTGCTAAAAACTTATGCAGTTTGTCAGCTTAACTATGTTTAAAAGAGTTTAATGAATAAGTCACTGATATCAGAGTTTATACGAGTTTAAAACTATGCAACATGCAAGAAATATCTAACACATACTTGCAAAAAGAACGTTATATAAGGTGTACCATAAAAAACAACTAATAATTACGCCAGATGATTAGATGCCAACTGATGTTAGAAAACTTATAATAATAAACCATCTAAGCGAACCCACCTACCATTGAAAACAGTGCAGTCAATGTTCAAACAAATTTTAAGATTTTTATATTTAAGGTTTTGTTGTTTTAGTGAAATACGATGACTTGTAAACAGTAACGACCGTTAATTGACAATAATTAAACTAATTATAAAATTCAGTAGTAGAATAATTTTATAATTTCAGAATTATTCAACACTTATTGAATTTTTTAAAAATTAATAACAATAAGTTTAATTATCTTTGAAAGACTGCTTTTTTTTACACTAAGGAATATGACAAAGAGCAGAAAAACAGTTAAATAACTTACGTCGCTGGAGACAAATTAGAGAATTGGTCCTCGAGGTACATCGTATCGTAAGACTCATTTAAAGAATTAAAAGGCATCTCATTTGTTGAAATATAAGACGAATTTGCACTAAAAATAATTATTGTAGCAATCCAGTTGACCAAAAGACTGCAACTAATTTTGTTTCTTCACAGATTTTTTCATTTTCTTTCTTCTTCTTTCAATCACGGAAAGCGTTTTTAAAAATGTACCGACTATTATCTAACATAATATATATTGTATGACATATTGTCACTGATATGATTTACTTCACTTTCTGCAATTATCGTAAGTACCGCAAAAAAACTAACTATTCTATGCAGTCAGCCAAAGTATCGGAATCGTGAAGTGAGGAATGCTCCGATGGTTTCTCAACTGGTTGTTGTTGATGATCTGCTGAAAGAGAGTAAATACCTGAGAGATGTTTATAATTAAATACCAGTTATGAGTATAAACTACCTCAAGAATGATTTCTACCTAATGTGCAGCATTTATTTGCAATAAAACAAAAAATAGTGCAAATTTGGTGGAAGAAGAGAAGATAGTAAGCTGTTTGCAGTACTTGAGGTATTCTGGTCATGACCGTCATGACCATCGCCTTCAGCCAGTATCAGTTCTTCCATTAGCTGGTCAATGCGTGCAACACCAGCAAGTTTTGACACTAGTATATCTTCAGAAATAGTATTTGCTAAAGTCTGAAAATACAGCGAAAAGAGTAACAAAACAAGTGATAAAATAATTAGCAAAAAGGTTATCTTATCTTGGAAAAAATAAGCAATAAATGCTGTAAATTGAAAATAAAGTTGGTTTAAAATTTCTCCCAGAAAAATGTAAAAAAGTGAGCAACTAAAAACTGCCTGCAGTGCTACGACTGACCGTTCTATTTACGTAAAGCTATACAGTTTCTAATAAACCTCTTGCTTCTGCAGTCTTAATCAAGTTTTTGTACATAATTTTACGTATACTTAAAAAAAAACTACTGCTGTTTTAAACAAATGCTACTGCAGCTACACCACATTTACTAAAACTAAATTGAGAACTAAAAGAATATTTCCGTCATTTAAAGATTAATATCATTTTAATATACGTTGTTCAATCAGTCATATTACTTCTGTATCTTTCGGTTTTCCTAAGCAGATAAAAACAACAGTCTTTCAGTCTTTCTCGTCACAAAAAACATCAGCCTGCTGAATTCTAAAACAATTTTCAAAAAAAAAAA